GTAGCTTCTTAAGGAGTACAATGACGACACATCAGTGAATATGGAGATTACACTGAGTGAAGAGAACATGATGGTGGCTCGACAAGAGGGCTTTCTGAAAACATTCAAACTCACCACAACTATCGGTACAACCAATATGCATCTCTTTGATGAGCATGGTGTGATAAAGAAATATGAGACTCCAGAACAAAGTAAGCAGAGATCACATATATTTCTCATTCTGCTTTTTTCCTTCTCCACAAGTTATACTAAACTTTACATCCCATCACATCACCTTGCAGTCCTGGAGGAGTTCTTCAACCTCAGGCTTCAATACTACGAGAAGCGAAAGGTTAGAAAAAAATCTTATACTTCAAGTCTTTTAGAGATTTTAGAGATTTATAACAATGATAACTGTCTGATGTATACAGAAAATAATGTTGGAGAATCTGGAACTGGAGCTGCTGAAACTAGAAAACAAAGTGAAGTTTATTCTTGGAGTTGTGAGTGGAGAGATCATAGTGAACAATAGGAAGAAAGCTGATCTTGTTGAAGAGTTGAAACAGAGAGGGTTTACCCCATTCCCGAAGAAGTCCAAGCCCGTAGAAGCGGCAGTTGCTGGAGCAATCGACGCAACTGAAGAAGCTGAAGAAAGCTCAGATGCTCCTGCTCCAAGCTCCACGTTTATACCTGGCTCAGAGTATGACTATCTACTGTCACTGGCTATTGCAACGTTGACTCTGGAGAAAGTCAATCAGTTACTTGCAGACAGAGATAAAATGAAGGAAGAAGTTGAAGACCTGAAGAAAGCTACGCCTAGGTCTCTCTGGCTCAAAGATCTCGAGTCACTTGAAGTTGAACTTGACGTACGGATTCATAACCTTTTTCCATTAGTTGACTTACGCAAATTACCAATTTGTCATCTCTGTCCTTGTTGTGTTGCAGAATCTAGATTTGGCTGATGCTCAAGCCGAAGAAGCGAGAAAGAAAGCAGTGAAGAAACTCAGGGCTGCTGCCGGAAACCCAGCAAATGGTCGAAAACAAGCCCCAAAGAAACAACCAGCAACAAAGAAGAAACCAGCATCCACTAATTCAGCAATGGACACAGGTTAATACCGTACACTCTCAAGCCAGTGAATCAGTCATTGCGTGTTTTGTGTGTTTCTTGTATGGATCTAAAAATCTGTTCTTGTGATTCTTAAAGATAACAATGTAGTGGAAGTGGCGAAACCGAAAGGTAGACAAGGAGGGAAAAAGAAGGCTCCTCCTCCTCCTCCAGCTGCAAAGGTGAGAGTATTAACTGATAGGAAAATCCATTTTACAAGGAGGGAAAATCAGATTGTTTCTTTCTTTCTTTGTGATGAAAAACCAAATCAAACCATAAGTTTTTATTGAAAAAGCAGGAGGAGGTTGATGAAGATGAAATGATGGATCTGGCTTCAAGGCTTGCTCAATACAATTTCGGCTCTGCGTCTGAGAATCCAAGCAGTAAGAATTATCTATAGAAAAGAGACAAATGATTTAGTGGAAATAGAACTAATATGTTTCTGCAATTGCTGTG